TATAAATTCACATGAAATAAAGCTTAAGGTCCAGGGAGAGCGGTAAAACACAAAAACAAAGTTCAAACTTCCTGAACCGTTGCTCTAATGCAGCAGTATTTTTTCTGCCGTGGAGTCAGCAGAAGGGATTTACATTTTGCAAAATGCTCTTACACCAGCGTTTCCCAAAACTTTTACATAAAGATGCATATTTTTCGAAAATGACAAACCAAAATCCCTGTAAATCACAGTCACCCAGACCCAGGTGATCGCAATTCACAATGTTATGGATCGACAAAAATATACATTTTAGGCAAGTTACTGCAGACTCGCATTACAAACCATCTTTAAAAGGCCATAGATACAGATGAAACAGACCATCTGACATTGTATCACAATAAATCAAGACTACATGTTGTCAAATGTTGGCAACATGTTGACACTGGATTTTGTAGGTGATTCATGTGAGATTAATTAATTATATTAAAACAATTTTCTCCAAAACCTCCCATATCCTCCCTTCTTTTAGAATCACTAAGAGGGTTTGGGTGGTTTACTGTCATCGTCCTGGATCCAGTAATTCATTTTATTGAGCTTTGTCTTGAACATTGACACCAGCAATTAATAAGTTAGAAATGAAGCAGCTGATGTGAAAGTTTCCTCACAGCAGGACAGCAGGACAGCAGGACAGCAGGACAGCAGGACAGCAGGTGTGGCATCTACACTACACTACTACAGTGCTGTGTTCCAAAGACTTTCTAACACAAACACCCTGCTCTATCATACGCTGCAATAATTAGCCTGCTAAAATATAGCTAAAAATAGCGTCTGTGGCCAACAGGCAGCGTGCTGGTGGTGAGTGGTGTGCTGTGAGGCCCAGAGTGGTTTAGGTCAAACTGCTTAGTGTGGTCCACGAGTTCCCACAGCTCCTACTCTTTGGCTGTTTCAATGGGCACACGTTCTATTTTGATGACTCTGAAAAAGCCCAAAGACAAACAATAGGAATGGACACAGTCTGATTTACAGTGTCAAAGACAGAGTTAGATCCCCTTCTTTTCCTACGAGGAAACCACATAAAAGATCGGAGTGGAAGAGAGGGCTTATTCTTTAAGACTTCAAGGCTTATCACGTCTGGAGCAGTCACCCTCCTGTGACCTGCTGCAGAGGAGACACTAAAGGCTGCTGACAGACAAACAATAATGCCAAGAGTGAAAAGAAATAAATCACTGGTGGTGTTCATCACTGTAATTTATTTGACAATGTTTAGCGTCATCTCTTGTTGTCTTTCTTTAACTTCCTTCCATGACAACAAGCTCAGATTGTTACTAGTTTTCCCCTACACTACAGTTCAGCTGTACGTTGATGAATTACTTCTGTTATATGCTGATATGGTTTGGACTGAACTCTGGATAACTTGGTAGTGTGAGTTGTTGGACAGTGTGCAGAGCTGGGAGTCCGCATATGGTCAAATCTATGCAATGATGCAGAGCAGAGCCACTAATCCACCAATATATAACACACTTTCATACGTGGCCAAAGCAAACGCACCGCAGTTAATCAACATTCCAGACTCGTGTTTAGTCAACTCTGATTTGGAGGTAAAAATATAAACATACACTTTAGTTTTGTGTTCTTACAGTTTAGCTGTNGGGAAAAAACTAAAAAAAAAACAAAAACAAAAAAAAAAAAAAAAAAAAAAACAGAACATAAAGGGAGATTTCCCCTCAAGGTTTGTTCTCTGTAGAGAAATTTAGCTTGTCTTATATGATTCATTCGTAGCTCACTTAGTCCAACCCTGTCATCCTTGTAAGTAAACAACAAGAGCTTAGCAACTGAGGTGGATGAGACTGTGACCAAGGTTTACTACCAGGACAGGTTCAGTAAATGCTGCTTGTCCCGTACTAGGTAAATAAATAAGGACGATGGATGCTTTGTTCTATTTGCCTCAGAAGTCGACAGCTGTTTAGGAAAATTTCCAGAGATTAATACTATCTATTAGGGCAGTGGTGGCTTAGTGGTTAAGGAAGCGGACTTGGACTTGAGCGGACTTGAGTGTGGCTCCGTCCCCACACACTGCTCCCCTTAAAGCTGCCTGCTGTTCACTTTGGTGACGGGTCACATTTGGTTGTGTGCAGTGGTGAGCTGTGTCACAATGACAAGGAGTTCACTTTCCTTTCCATCTAGTATTTGCTCCTAATCGATTCTCAGTATTATTTATATGAAAAAAAGTCCTTTTTTGATGATAAGAAGTAAACAACAGAATAATAAATGAATAATGATTCATGTCAAATAATGTGATAGTGATAAAGCTGGTGCTTAATCCATGTCAGGAGCCAGAGCTCAGTTTATGTGATGGGTCATTTCTGGCTTGACAACAACCTGGACCTGGTCTACAAACATCCATCAACCTTTTACCACAATATCCCAGTACTGATGCAACATATCAAAAACTTAAATTGAAGTCAATTAACAGAATTGGTCTTGATGTATTATGTGCAACTCACTCTCTCTAACCCACAGAAAACATTGCATCACTTCCAACACATAACTCTGCAACTAGATCTGTGTATTTAATGTCATTACTCCGTGTTTGTGTTGGAAAACAGAGACATTTGTTCAAACCTGTGTGATCAGGCAGTTAAACGTGTTCTATAAATCACACTAGCAAACACTGGGGAATGAGAAGCTGGTTTGTTTATGGATTGAAAACAGTTTTTCTCTGTTGCCATTAAAATTACGCTGGACCATCTCCTGCAACGCTGGAGGCTTTCTTGCAATCTGGTGAGCATCTGATTGTTATTTGGGCCTCATTGTACTGTTATCATGACAGAAAACACTGCGCTGGGGCCCAAGGGTTCTAAAAAGAAACCCAGAGAGTTCTAAATTAAGACTGTGAGTGACATCCGTCGCTATGTCTGCAACAAGGCTGTAATCAGAGCAGGCTTTGTGCAGACAGTGGGACCATCCATCTTTCACTCACCAAAAAAAAAAAAAAAATCTGGCACAACCTCAGAGCTGAGAAGGTTACACACAATAGGAGGACATGGCTGTCTTTTCCAGTTACTTCACAAACCTCATGGCTTGGGACATGCTAAGTGTTAGCATTCATGAATGTTACAATGTTAGCATCGATATAAACAAGAACAATGATCTGCAAAATCCAGACAGAGGGAGGGCAGAATATGATCATTTTATTTTTATATTAAAATTAGAATTTACTGATTGACTGGCACAAAATGACCTAAAAACACAGCCTAAATTTAAAAAAAAAATCTAAAATATGTAAAGCAATCACCTTGTTTACTGGAGAAAAATGTGATGCATGTGTTTTTAGTCTTCATTATGACTTTATTGGTCCTTTATTATTTTAATAGTAGATGCTTCAGCTAGTTATGGTCTGGTTTATTGTGAAGTAAACTATGGGCTGCGTGGTGAGGTCATGGTCATGGCTCTCATCTCACTACATGAAGATCAGGTGGCGTGTATCCAAGTGTGTATGTTCATGTACCATATGTCCAGCCATTGTGTAAATGGTTTCTCCGTCTACTCTCTGGTTTGTTCAAACAGCCAAACACACTGGGGCTCAGTCTTAATTGGAGACTAGGATGTGACTAAAGTCGTGACCTAGGCCCTGTGATGGACAGACTACCTGTTCTGTAAATGTCCGACTGACACTGCCTTCACCTCCTGTGACTTTTTCTCCCAACATTTTTTTCTATTTACTGCTTGTATTTTAAGCTAACCAGAGCTCTTAAAGTTAAGGAAGAACTATTAGAACGGCTCGTTATTCCAAGTGAAATATTATACAAGAGTAACTGTTAAAGAATGATGTCATCCTTCTATTAGGCATTAGGTCAACTCCATTTTCTTGATATACACAGTATGTGCGAGCAGATATACACAAGAACATGCTTTTACGTTCACGCCGTGGAGTAAATTATTATTATTATAAATTACAAATAAGAAGGCTAATGAAACCTGATGTTTAGAGTGCCTGAAAGTAAACTTTAACAAGATGTTCAACAGTGATGAATGGCTTTGTTGTTAGCGCTGCACTGGAAGAAAAGAATAATGTCTCTGATAAAGCAACATTATTTGAGCCTCATCTTACAATATCATTATTTTAATTTAGTGCTATCCCACGAATGGCCAGTTGGCCACGGCAACAAACCCTGATTTAAGGCTTGAATAAATCTGGATGGACATGAGGCCTGAATATATCATTATGGAACCATCTCAGTGCCTCAAATGAATGGGTATAACATGTGTGAAAGAGTGATATGCACCAAGATGATCCTCTTCATATGCTTAGATTTTTTTTTATCTTTATTTTGTTTTTTACTTCTAAGCATTTTTGTTTTTGTTTTAAACGCCTCTAGATGCCCATGCTCACCAGAAGAGCTGGATATTTAAAACATTTAGTGCCAGTGGACACAAGTACTTTTGTTTATTCCTCCTGAAGAGGGCAGTGTTTGAATGGTAGAGCCTACATCTGTCAGCACTCATCAAGTCACCACGGTGCCAAGAAGTCGGGGGAAAGCGTACATGAAGTCCACACTCCAATTTGTTTTAATTCAAAGCAGAATGAAGGATATAAAATATTGGATCTTTACGTCAGACATTAACATTCAAATCATGTACTCTGTGGAGAGGATGGAGGTGGTACAGTACTTAAGTAAGTAAAACCTATCACGAGTTTCACAGTCTGTACTGTCAAGTCATTAAAGATAGTCATTCAGTCATTCAGTACAACCATAACAGGCTGGTGTACATCACCAGAGACGTACGACACACTCTCTGAGGTAACTCTGAGCTCATTTTGCCATTTGTTTTCAAAGCAGATTCATTCATTTGAAGCAAAATTCTAAACGCATCAGAGACACAAAAATGATGACGTAAACATTCAGGAGGAGTCAATGAATGAGTCCACTTCATATAATCCACAACAACTGAATGACGAACCACTCCATCATCATTCATCACATTCATAGACTTTAAAGCCACATATACAGGAGCTTAATGGGCGTTTACTGGGTCATTTTACAAGGCCATTAGATGTGTATGGTTTTTCAAGCTCAGGTATGTCGACCACAGCCTGTTCTCATTTATTTATGTATTACTTTAACGATGAAATGCTTCATTAAATAGACCTAGTTGTGGAAGTTGTGCGAATATTGCTTAAATATTTGAATTAGTCTTAATAGTTTAGGAAAATATTTCGCCAGACATTTATCACGTCCATGTACCACGAGTCACCTTTCCACTTATATTTCTTAGTCGGCCTCAACTTTTTCGACCCCATTTTTTCTCTTTAACTATTTTTACTCTCTCCTCCCGTCAGGCACTTCGTTATCTTTCTCCTCTTCCTGACCTCCTTCCCAATTTCATTATTTCCCCTCTCCTTCCAAACGTCTCCTCCTTTTTTTTCTGAATGAAGTCTACGCTCAGGTTCAACTCCTCCCACTTTGTGTAAGCGCCTAATTGCCAGCTTTGACGAAAAGTTGCTTGGGCTTAAATACTGAGTGCGCTTGTTGCTCGAAGGGTGAAAGGAAGTGTTCAACCTGTGTGTCTGCCTGTGTGGGTGCGTTGTCTGTGTTTCTCTGCGCTCTGGTCAATTTGTTCCTCCCGACCGTCCAGTATGCAGGTGTCTCTGGCTCTGCTCGTCTGCAGCTCTGCGCTGCTGCTGCTGCTCCAGGGATGCTGCACCGCCGCCAAAGGATGGAAGGTACTAAAAAACGATGCTACGGAGATTTTACCGGAGTACAATGAAAACAGCCGGACACCGGAGGAGGCGATGCTGCAGGCGAGCCACGGCAGAAATAACAGCAACAGCAACAATGTGAATAACAGAGCAAAGAACGGAGGCAGAGGCGCAAACACCGTCTCCTTCAGTGAGTATTTACTCAATTTTAGGTTGTTATTTTTTTTTAAATGTGTTTTGAAAAAAAAAGACAAAAACTATAGAGGCAAGGCGGCCGATAGACAGTCGTGCGCAAGATAAAATAGATCTTAATGACTCCTTGATTTGATCTGAGGTGCTACAGTACGGGGGCCCAAAGCGTAAAAGGCGCACCATCACTGTGTGAACGAGGGAGCGCAGTAAAATAAAATATAAAATAAAATAATTTGTAAATATTTACACTACACTGATACATGCATTCATCATATCTGTAAAAAAAACTTTTTATTTTTATATATCACCACATTCATTAACTCGATTTTTAGACCTTAATATAAAGGTCGAACATCACTGTGATGCTAGAGACCGTAAGCATGGGTCGATTATATTTTTATTTAAGCAGTTGTGTTCACAGTACTTTCAAGTCTTTAACAAAGATTTACCACCTGTAAGTTTGTAGGTCACTCATACCTTTGAGAAACCTAAAAATATCAACTTACCAAGTTATAACTGACTTCATGGCATAACCGTTCCATGTGGTTTAAATGAATGGATTTGACTTTAAAATGTTGAAGAGACGTGTCACTGAATCTGACATAATTCTCACATGGATATTAAGATCTGCTTCCCTGAGAATATATTTTTTTAAATTAAACTCCTAGGGTTAAAAAAAAATCAACTTGATGCTGAGAAGCAGAACACACACATTCTTGGATTTTGGTTCTCCACCATCAGTTGGGCGTTTAGAGAGACATCAGGGCGGTTCACATCCAGGTTGTTTCTGTCTGTCTTTATACTATTAGTCAAGCTCTGCTTACACCGTAACTTTTTGATCGTTGAAACATGTCTCCCAGAGAGAAAAAAAAACCCCTATGTTTGTTCATCAGGACATGTTTTTTCGAGGGGATTGGAAATTGCCTTTTTTAATGCAACACTGCCTTTGTAAATGATTCCCACCTGTGTCCAGTGAAGGCTGAGCTGTGCACGTAGGATAACCTCACTGCTGCACTAATGGAGTCAAGACAGGTGGTGCACTCTTCTCTCAGCTTTTGTCTTCGCCTAATCACGTCCAATTATTGCAGAGATTTTTTTTTCAGAAATAGAAGCTAAATTTGAATCAGCCCATATATTTTATTGTAAATCCTAACGTTCTGTTAATAATAATAAAAAAATAAAATAAAAAATGAAATAGCTGATTCAGTTTTGATATGACTTTAGTAAAAGGGATCCGGCTTGTTTTCGCACATAAAGGCACAGGCATTATGTGTTAGGTTTCACTCAGGGACACAATAATCTCCTGGATTATTTTCTTCCTCTTCTTTGCTTTCGTCTTGGGACAGATATGGTCCTTGTTGGGTGAGAGCACAGGCTTTTGACCACTGCCTGGCCTCCTTCCAGTTCTCTCTGTGTGTGATCTTTTCTTTTTCTTCAGGACTCCATCACAGTGGTAAAGACAGAGAGAGGCGTAATTAAAATGCATGGAACGCGTTCATCAGAGTTTTAGAAATAATGATCCCTGCACCAGTAGGTGTTACTCTGTGCTGCCTTCAGTGGCAGCCACAGAATAATACTAGATCAGATTCTCAGGGGGAGAAAAAGAAGAAGTCACCTCACATAAATCCTTTGTTCAGCCCTTTTGGAAAAGAAAGCCACAGAGGAAAACAGATCCTTCTCACTGTATCATTTCTTAACCGACAGTTCCGTTGCCCCTTTTTTACACAGTGCTTGTGAAAAAAAACACAAACACAGAACAATAAGTCATGTACACAGCTGTTAAGAAGCCGAGGTTTCAAATATAACATTACAGGCCGAGTGTGCTGTCTCAAATAAGTCTGGCAGGTGTCCAGTTTGTTCAAAATTGTACAGTTGCACTGCTGCCTTAAAATAACTCGACAGCTATTTACTCTTCCGTCACCCCACACATTTCCTGAGGGCCAGCGCTGTGTGCCAGCTTTTTTCTTCCAGCCCAAAAACTCCATTAGGTTTGATTGAGCTGTTTAATGGCCCTCTGGTCTGGATTTGCTATCAGCTGATTGCTGCCAGCTGGATCTCCCTGTCAAAGGCCGCCGTCAGCTAATGATTGGACCATGATTAAAATTCAAAAAGTGTGATATGATCATAGCTGGATTCAAAAACACATTGTTGGATTTATAGAAGTGCTTTTTGTGACACCGTGTTTCTCCCTTTTTTTTCTTGATTTTCTTGCTACATTAAAGTTCATATGTCAACAGATATAGGAGTCCAAGTCGCAGCTGCAGTAAAGCAGTTAATCTGTGGACTCCAGTGTGTGGCTTTTCAAAGTGTTTGTTTTGGGATAGAGCCATGAGTGTAACTGTGATATCCCGTTCTTCACCCCAGGTGCCTCCGAGCTCAGCTGTAGGGAGCTGCGTTCCACTCGTTACATCACCGATGGATCCTGCCGCAGTGCCAAACCAGTGAGGGAGCTGGTGTGTTCCGGCCAGTGTGTGCCCGCACATCTGTTGCCCAACTCCATCCTCCGTGGCAAGTGGTGGAGGAGCAGCAACTCGGACTACCGCTGCATCCCGGCGCACACCCGGACACAGAGGGTCCAGCTGCACTGTCCGAATGGCAACACTCGGACTTACAAAATCCGTGTGGTGACATCTTGCAAGTGCAAACGCTTCAGGCCCCACCATAACCAATCAGAGGCCAAGGAGGTCCCCAAGACGCAGAGAAACAAGAAGCACAGTCGCTCGTCTCAGGAACGTAAAAAGAACGACACGCCACTGAATGGAAACTCCTACTGATGCTGCACCGCAGCCATCTGTGGACGCAGACTGAAAATCATTTAAATCCTTACATAAAATCTGCATACATGTCGCACTATACACAAACTCCTACAAATAAGGAGACACACGAGAGAGCAAATCATAAGCTAAAGTAATGGCTGGGCTGATTTAAGCTGCCAGTCATTTGTATTTCAGCCATTTGTCAGCATATTTGTGGACTCTGCTTATTGTATAACTAAATAAACTAAATCCAAAGCTTGGTACAACTGTGACTGATCAGGAGGATAATATGAGACAAGTATCTGAACAACCCATCGGCTCAAACCTTCACAGGCTCAGATGGTTCCTTCACCCAAGCTGATTTTGTTTAAGCGTAATGAAAAGTGCTCCCTGATGTTTCAAGCCCATCTGTACAAACATCCAATGGATGCAGGGCTCACACCGCACTTCAGCTCTGTGCAAAGCTGAAACGATGTATATCTGCTGCAAATTAGTTGCAATCCATCTTGCTGTGGCTCCAGAGGAAGTTTTGGTGTGGCCCGGGGCCTGTATGGTGGTCCGCGTAGCTCCCCGACAGCTGACCAAAGGCCTCAGTCATTGGGACAGACCAGACCTACCGCACTCTCCACGCTGCATCTGCCCCGACCAGGCCTGTCAGTCACAGCAGTGCATTTCCCACGACTAAATACAGTAAGTCATGAAAAGACTGAAAGAGGAAGCAGTTTTCTCAGCGCTAACACCACAGGGGGCATTGGATATTCCTGTAACTCATGAATCACTAAATACGCCCATTCCTGTGTTAGGATCCAAGTCACAAAAACAAAACGTCTCTCCTCCAGCCAGTTCCTGTTTGCTGGAATCTTATACAAAAGGCTGAACTGTTTAAAAGGGAAATCAAAAAACTTACACAAGTTGCGTCGTTACCTCTGGACAGAGTGCTAACCATCACCCTGCCAATAGAATCTGTTTGTAACAGGCCAAATAGAGCATATAATGACCCACCTACGCTGTAACCCGGCCAGATCCAAATAGACCACATGATTCTGTATATAGGTCAGAAAAGGCTCGACAGGATGAAAAAAGTAAGAAAAACAATATATTTCCCTTCATCTTTGTATTGAGAGATGAAACAGGGAGAGGAAGTGCTAATAAACAGTCCCTCAACGCAGACAGCAAAAACCTCCTTCCTCAGCGAAGCGTCCGACTCTACTGGACTCCATGAAGCATATTCTCATTGTTTCCACATATTGTCAGTACCGTTGTTTTGCCGCTCGTATTGCTTCCTGACTTCGGACGTCTAAACTGTACTGACAGTGTTTGCTTCTTTTTCCGACTCCTGTGTTTGAAATAGCAACTGGAAGGGTTTTTGTCAGGCGAGCCGAGAACGGCGACGCAAACCTGTGTGGTCCTCTGCAGTGGCACCCTCTGAAGAAGGGGAGGAGAGGGCTGTTTTTTTCCCCTTCTCTCTTTAACAGAAACAAAGATGGACTGCTATTAAGAATGAACTGCATATTTATTTTTTATGTCCACATTTAAATTATTTATGCAAACTTTTGTAGTAAATGATAGCCATTCTTGTCATATAGTATGATAGAAACGTTGGAAATGAAATGCTGTACAGTACACGAATGAATAAAGTCAAGGCAGATATATGTGAAAGAATGGGTGTATTTGTTTTTATTCCTATTCCTGAAATGTTCTTTCACATTTTCTTTAATCATCAGTAAGAACTGAATGTGCTATGATATAATGTAAAAATGTATTTTATTTAATTAAAATTGGGTTTAAAAAGGGTAAAACAATTATTTATATATAAGGTAAAGAATGTTTTCAGACAAAATTGGTTTCTACAATTTACACAACTGAATCACCAAATATGCAGAAGTTAATGTGAAAGTGTATTGACTTCATTTGTGCATAAATGTTTATATAAAGCTGCAAGTTTAAGTGCCCTGTGTCTCCACTGAGAAATTCCAGCACTTAAGAAGCTGACGTTTCTCCTCTGTCTGTACACATAGAGAGGAAGGAATCAACACTCTTGAAAGTTCGGCTCAGGCGTAACATTATGTCTATGAAGGCAATGAAAAAAAAACAAAAAAACAAGTCAAATGAAAGTCACACACTCCAGGCACAGTCCTAGCCATAGTCCTAGCCATAGAGTATCACTGCACAACAGAAGATATTACATTTCACTACAGGGTCTATAATCTGTGGTCATTATGTTGTATCCCAAGTCCAGGAGAGAACAGACATGCCGTGATTTTACTCAGGCAACAAGCAGAACATGTTTCCCAAGAAATTCATGACCACATCCTTAAGAAGATGATGTACATGTATTGATGCTGACAAAGCATCTGCACTGTGTTAATGTGTGCACACGTCATGACCCACAAGTGACCTTGAAGAGCCCGGGGAATTCCGAGCTGCGCTGGAAGGTCGGTACAATCTGCTCTTAACAAATGAGTCAAGTCAGTAACACTTCACTTAGGACTAATGTCTGGTGTTATCAGTGAAATTCGGCAGACCAGGTGCACAAGTCTCTCAGGATCGTCATACTCCAAACTGTCAGAAACATGATTCACAAGCCCTGAAAGTTGGTACACCTACTTCAACTGTAACAAGAACGTACTGGGAGTGTTGTCAATCAACAAGAACTAATGCCTGGGTCCAACTACATGTAATAATTTCAGTGGGTCAAAAATGTGTAAAGGTCAAGTAGAGAAACCACTGCTGATTATTAGGTCTGAGGCTACATTAGATTAGATTAAATTGATATTATTGATATCACACTGGGGAAATTATTGTTGTTGTTGTTGTTGTTGTTGTTGTAAGAACTGCATGAAAAACTGCTACCATGAAAGAAGAGCAACATTGGTTTGGAGCTACCAACAGAGCAATCTCAGGCTGTCACAAATGCTCCTTAGGTCTGTATTATGAACAATTAAGGTACATTTCTGTGCTATAAACATGTCAGGCTTTGGTCTATTTTCATTGGAATTAGAGATGAACACTGTAGTCAGATGATGCTGAAGGCATCTGTTAGATTCTGTGTCCATCATAAGAGAGCAAAGATGGCTGAGGCTTGTTGGCTGTGGATTGAAGGTTCTAAAAATAAGTTATATTATATGACCTAGCATTATAAATGACTGAGTGCTGGACTTGAGCAGCCTGCCTGCCGACTGGACTCTTCTGCATCACAAGGAGGAGGAGGATCAGACAATAGTGAGTGAGGACTGTTGGACAGGTTTGGTCTTTAAAACAATAGGAAAAATGTTAACAGAACTGAACTGCTATGATTAAATTCCACATGTAAAATTCTGACCTTCTTCCAAAAACAATTAATAGAGTAAAAAAAAAAAAAAAAGAAGAAGAAAGAACCTGTCCAGTGGTTTTCAATCAAGCTGCAGATACATTTTAAACAAGTCAATGTTTGACACAAAATACTATGGATGAGTCAGACAGTCTTAATTTGTCAATTTGCCCAATTTGCATTTTGAAAAAATGTATCAACTTGTCTGAATATGGGGTTAGTAATGATGTTCATATAATAGAGCTCAAAAGTAATTCCAAGGAGGACCAAAGTCTGCTTTTTATAGAAGTGACTAATATTCCCTGGCCATCCTTTTCCAGTCGTGAACCAGAGACAGAGATTTATGCTACCTTCTCCCAGCTGAGCAGCCACTTAAATCCACCCTCTGTTCACAGTGAGCTTATGTTGGACCTGATAATTTCTTAAGATAATCATCGTTTCCCCATGAAACACTCTCCTGCAGCGCAGTAAGGTCATTAACTTGTCTCCGACTTGCCACGTCTTCAGTTTATCTCTTTACATGCAGTAAATGTTGAGACACGGCTTCCATTTGCACAGTGCCAGAAAGGCTGTCTCAAAGACAGGCACCCTAGTGGCAGGGAACTATCAACAGAGACTCTAATGATGTTCTGCCAAGTCCAGCAGAGACAGTTGAGTGAAATAGATAGACGCTGAGATGCTCGTTCAGTACACATTTTTTTCTCAGTTGTATCTGTCAAACAACGGCCAACCAGTCATTTGTGCAGACAGAAAAAAAGCACAATCAGTGGAAACTGACTTAAGGCGACAGTCAAAGCATAAGAAGCACTAACTTTTACTTGGCAAAAAGCAGGCCTGTCTCATAAAAGTCTTTATAGTCTTGTGTATCTGGTCTGTTTCCTGTACTGTTCCAATACTTAACAATGTTGCATGCTGTCCAGGATTATTCTTCTGTTGAAACATGTTCTGTTGCCACTAGAATGAACAATATTTACACCTTTGTAGCAGTTTACATAGAGTGTCTTCTACGCTTCACATCAGTTATTCAACCTGAGGCCTTTCAGTCAAATGTATTTAAGAAGAGGAAGTTATTGCTGGATTTAAACACTAATGGACAGTGACAGATGCATTCAGAGATGGATGGCTGTGCGTCGCCAACCACTTCCTGAGTCCTGACCTGAGCAGTACGAGCTTCAAACAAATGGAAACCAGAAGACATATCTGGCTGCCTAGAGGAATGAGAAATGTGGAAAAAACAATTCAACAAATTTTGTGTCCCTCTGACGATGCAGGCTTTGGAAGGTGGATAGAGTTTCCTGTGAACAATTCTCAGAAGGAAAGGGAGAAGCTGAGGTCAGGACCTATTACTCTCTCTCATTAACTTCAGGGTCTAAACTACATCTCAGAAATTATTTTTTTCATTCAACAACAAAAGAGTTTGATATGAAAAAACAACAATTTGAGAGGAAAATGTATTAAATATGGTGACACTTTTGCAGCCACAGGCAGTAGCGTCGTACAGGTCAGAGGCATCTACTGAGCCATGTAAGGCTAAGTCTGTGAGCGTCAGCCAGCCATGCAGAGAGTGGAGCCAAACATATGTGCCTGGGACAACAGGAGGTGCAGAGGATAGGAAACAGGGTTGTCAACAAACAATTCTAAACAGGCACAGCAAGCCCCAAAGTTCTGGAGGCAGAATGCACTTCCTTGCTAATCATCACCTTATGGACTTTGCATCTCGCAGAAAAACAGAGGAAAACAATGTCACACCAAGTTGTTTTAACCTCGAACAACAAGTTGCCCAAATAATGAAGTGCAGAACAAAATGCATATTCTGCTAGTGCAGTAGATAATTTGGGGTAACATTAGAAAAAAAAACCTTCCAGCATCAACTTCCAAATACTTCCACACTACCACTGCCAAAAGACAAAACTTACATCTGTCAAGTGTAACTGCTGCACACAATAGGCTGTAGTTTGGGTTTGTTGTTTTTAACATTGCCGTATAGAGGATACAGAAAACCAGTCATTTAGTAAATTAGTTGAGGTTAATACAAAAAAATCTGATACTGAAAGTAAATTCCTCCACACATGTAGGTGGTTAAGTTCCACAGACAGATTTGATTTTCATTTTTAAATCATTAGGTTCTACGTGAATATAACCAAAAAGTACAACTGAGGCCAAACAGTAAAATAATTTCCTTCCGCAAACTTTCAAAGGGCTGCGATATCTGTGACTGTTCTAAGAAGAATAGATTACAACTAAACTAAATAAAAATTACAGCCTTTCACGTCTGAAAAAAAAACAACAACAAAAAAAACAGGCGTCATTAAATGACTCCTCTAATACTCTGGTTTATCAAGTGCTCAATTCAAGTGTCACAGATATGTTCAGCTGCACTTATCTGCCACATGTGTCATCAGGATAGAAGATGCTGGAAATAGATTAGTGTTTGTTCGACAGATTTAGAGTTTGTCCGTATAGTCCTCCTTTAATATAAAAAGAAAAATATATATATGTAAACAAAGTTATTAAGCTAGCAAAAATTTGCTAGTTGAGAATACACACAAGTTTAGAAACATCAGCAAACTAGAAAAGACACCGTTATCCCGAGTAGACAAATAATCATCACTATAATTATCTTCATAAAACACAGCAGTTTATGGGTTCTAAAGCCCATCATGTAGTCCATTTTGGTCTTAGCACTGCTAACCCATGCTAACTGCAACATGTTCATTGAGGTGAAACCTTAGGCATAAAGTTATCTTTTTCTGTGATGAATATACAAGATAGGGTGGACAGGGATTTTTGTGAATACAGTGGACTGTGTTCTTCTGTGGTGCCACAGTTTGCCAGCAAATAATAGAAAGATTTATAGGCAGGGGCTTCACATGTGCAGCTCAGAGCATGGACAGTGTTTAAGTTTAAAATTCCAGAGGAAAGTATCCTAGACTGAAACTATTTTCACTTGATTACACAAACACTGGTCTGACAAACACTAAAAGTAAGTCAGACATTGCTAGAAGAATATAAGAGGAAAAACAGCTCTGCATTGTAATATCTATTGCCTGAAGTAAAAAAAAAAAGGAACCCATATTGTCTAAACAGGCATCACCTCAAAGTGACGGCTTTTTATGACACCAGATCAGCTTTAACAACTGAATCTAATAATTGGACCACTATTTTGTTGATCATTTATTCTGACTAAAAGTTACATGACTATAAACAGTTCAGTAACATTTTACATCCTAGTAATTTGATCTATGACACAATACATGGATCTGCCACAACTGTAAACGCAGTAACTGGTTGTAATGTTGTGGTTTCACTTGCAAGGTTTTTCTATCACTGACTGAACTGTAAGACATTAGCTAAACACTGCTCAAAGCTGCAAAACGGCTGGAGGGCTGAGTCTCACTGGGACCATTAGCGCTAGCTGCAAACCCTTTTGACGAGAACATAAGAAATGAACAGTCCTCCGCCATTAAAATCCTTCTAATGTGGCAAGTTGGAAAAACACACAATAAAAACTTGAAATTAAGGCTGACAGAAGAAAACCACAGACAGTATGTTCAAGAAGTTTCATCAGTTAGAATCAATTTCAACCACTGAATTTATAAAATAGTTTTTCAACAGGGAGGAAAACACTAACATTCAAAAAATTCATTTTAATGTGACCTTGTAATATTTATTTTGACAGGAGACAGCATTTAAAAAAAACAAAACACTCAACAAAAAACAACCGTATCTTTGTTCTCATCAACAGCATCATAACATTATATCATCGCAGGGAACACAAAGTTCAGTAGCTCTGCTGTCTTTCCCTGAAGAAGAATCTCTGATCTGTACTGTCCTAAAAAAACAGAGGCACCAAGCTCAGGTGATGAGCATTGCACATATTCTGTGAAAGATGAAGTTAACAGTGGCTGACTCTTCCTCCAAAAACAACAACCCCCCCTCCACTCCCCAAGGGTTTATGACTATTTCTACAGACAGGACGGTGCCTTTCTGCTTGCTTGTAATTTTGTTTATGTCACAAGTCCTTAGCTGCAGAGGTTATTTTAGGACCTCACCAAATGGATACATATCTGGGTCTTTGAGAATCCTACTGAAAATTATTTTTCCAATAACTTTACCATGTCTGTGTCCTGGAGAAGGCTGACGATGGGATGTTAATAAACTTTCATTAAACCTTAGTATTAAACAAGTATAATTAGAGGTGTAAACTCTTGTATTAGGCCAACCATATAATCAAATCTACGATTCACAGACAACTAGTTTGACCCGTTAAGACATGTGAAACAGAAGCAGTGTGCAGCACTGTGCTAGGTCATGAAGCAAGAGGGGCTACATATAAATGTATTATATACTGTATGGACTTGAAAATATACATACAACGTATATATGGGGCTTTGCATTTGCATGCTGCAAACAGGAAGTGAACGAAACAAATTTGATCTTTCAGTTAAAACTGATTTAACTGGGATCAAAAGCACAAGGCCAAGAAAGGGTAAAACATTTTCAGAATCTTTTTAACTTTGGCTTCAGTGTCTACATCAACTTTCTGTGAGACACTGAACTTATTGTCTTAATCCTGTGCCACAGACTCATGTTGTATAGGCCAGCTGGGAAGGACAGATTCTTTGTGCCTAAAAATATCTCAAATACTAGTGTTTTATAAAAATGGATGATTCTGTGAGAAACTGTCTGACTGAGAGTTGGGCACGACTGCCAAATGCTGCACTCACATTTTTGTTCTTTTAAGGGAAAAGTGTGTTGTGAGTTTGAGCACCAATATTTTGGGCGTTAGTGGCACTATTATTTATGACAGCTAAAATACATTGTTCATACGGCTCTATGAGAAAATCTCTCTTCTCCATGACTCACAGTCTGCCCATCTGACTATCTGCAGAGTGTATTTGCCTTTTGAAATTAAGTGCTTGCATCCTCGCCCAATTCTCACTGACAACTAAAAAACTCCTGGTTCTGGGACTCAGAAAATCAACCTTGGATTTTCTTTTGTTGTTCGTTCATTCCTTTCGTGCTTCGTACCAAACATCATTCATAGCTTTTAATCTAAAACAAAGCATTACAATCTCTACTTTCCTCTCTTCTCTAACTTTTTCATCTTTTCCTGGATTTTATTCTGCCAAACTGAAAGAACAAGAAATCACCGTTGCTCAAAAGAGGCTTCAGCTCGTTCCACGTTTTTCATTGAGGTGTGCTCCGAACCTTCTCTTACTCAGCATATGTGAAGCAGGAGGAAGGCACACAAGGCAAACAGTAAGTCAACGCCTTCCACTGAATAAAATATATGGTAGATAGGAAAAGGGACAGAGTTGATTCACCCAGCAGATGTTGCCGGGTCCATTTGCGGAACCGTTACCTTGGAGAATGTAGATAATTAAATACATTACAAAACCATCTCAGGCTACTGTGCATGGTGCCTCCATTTACCACATCTAAAAAACCCCGGCACTTTAAATGACATCCCATAACATATTATTGATTTTGGAGGAAAACCTGCACAAATCGGCACTGCTCCGCTTGTAGAGATGAAGACATTTTTTTCCTCTACATGCCCAAAAAAATCTGAATAACAGGCCTTTATGCCAAATGTAATATGGCTGCCAGACATCAAGGCCAAACACCTTCTTGAAAAATGGCGACATCAACAAAATTGAGGTTTTTATGACACGATCAATCATGTTGTAGCAACTGGACAAGAACAAAGAACATTCAAAAATAAATCTAGAGAATTAAACCTGACTGCTGTTGTGTCAACAGTGGATCTCCCAGCACACTGTGTTTTCCTTCCAATCTCTACAACATGAATGATGACTTCTGCGTCTGCTTCAGACCCAGCCTCAGTCTGGACCGTGATGAAACACTTATTAAAGCCTTGGAATGAAACACTTTCACAACTAAAACTGAATGTATTATTTCATTCCTGGTCTTTTTTAAAAAATAGCTCTGAATACTCTTGTGATACTTCTTACTATACTTATACTTGTGATATATACATATATATACATCATTAAAAGCCATATTGTAAACTAAATCGTTTTTAAAAGCAGAGATCCATTTGTGTGCACAATTGTCTGTTTTTGTAAAGAAAAGAACAATAGGATCTGGCCCAGACCTTTACTAGGGTTTAGGACCACACTGGAGGTCTGCAGCAGGTCTACTGGCACCACCCAACCCAGACCAACTGACTGACAACCACAGAGACAGAGAGGATTTCAAAACAGGTGTATTGTATACTGATAAACTGTATATACTGTAGAGACACAAACAGCAGTCTGAAATGACCAGATATTAAATTCACAAAATAAAATCAGCGTTCCACTCAAATTCTCTCCAAAACAGTTTTGCAAAAAACTCTGACATGTAAGTAAACAACTCCAAATGTAGGCAGACAAGAAACAAAACAACAGCCAAAACAGAAGGACAATAGTCAGATATAAAAATAAATGTTTATTTTATCTTAATATTTTGTTTTGACATTTGTTGTCAAAATGTACACTTGATTGACATCTACAGAAATACATCAAGACCTTGGTCTGAAATTGTGCTAATTGTGGTGTCGTTCATCCTGACTTAAGTTGCAGTGATACTTAATTGACAATTGATTGACTATTTATATCATGTAAATAACAAAATGATGAAAACAATGTGGTGTCATTTTTGACCCCAAGGGACCTAAGGTGTTGGTCTTCAGGGGACATTATTAGGGTTAAATCAGAGCTGAGAGAAATTGTCAGAATATTTTTAAGGTAATGAAATATCCTTCAAAGTTGTTGCAAAAGGCAAAGGTATCACAGCAACACAGGCTGTAAATAGCCATGTGTTTGGAGTTAGGAGTTTAACAATCACATATGGGTGTAATGTTCAGCGCTTAACTACTTCACTGATCCCTTCCTGTCAACCAAATACCCACTTGGAAGGAAATGGTGTTTTACAGGTCAACAACACTTGCAGGGCTCTCAGGAACCTGCAGCCCATAGACGATGCTAACCATGATTAGAACAACAGAGCAGCCCAAGATAGTTGTGGTCTGCATCGCTTCCACCTCTGGAATGTCCATATTACAAACTGCTATCACTTCCTCACTCCAACAGGACTGTTACTAACATGTAAGTCATTTCTATGTCAGATGGCTTTCTCTCTCTCTCCCCCTCGTCTCGCCCTGCATGAAAAGGCATTCACGGTGCAGTTTGCGGACAGACGGGGAGAGCGCTTTCTGCTTCCATAAATAAGGCTGAGGTAGGCTCCGGCCTGTTTCATCCATCACTGGAGTGGAGCTGTGTTTGTGGACCAGGAGGGAGCAAGGGGGCTGGATTCATCCATGTTCCCAGCAGCCATCCCCCATGTGGGAACTTCACACAGCCATTAAACACCTCATGGCAGCCCGCTAGCTATTGGGCCAGCTGAGCCGACGAGAGAGCCGCGATCCCACAAGAGTCCCTCTTGTCCCCGTGGACATGTCAACAGGTTTTTCATTTAAAGTTTTAGTGCACATCTTGGGCACATAAGTCTGCTGATATAGGAGAAATGGATGCACATACGTCTTCAGTCCTTCTTAGAGTCACACAGGTGTTAATGTAGGACGTGAAACCCAGTGCTGGGTCTATAAAAATACTGTTTTCCTTTGCTAGAAGTTTTTCATTGTGAGTGAACAAACATTTCCATGTCATGATATTTCCAGCCGAGAATAATGATTTTGTGTGTGTGTGTGTGTAGGAGAACAACAGTTTATCAAATATGACTCTGTGGGCAGGTGTTTGAAATTATCTAAAATTAAATAATGGGTGTTAGAAATAATAACTGTGGTTGGAATACAAGCTGAGAGCATTAAACTGTTAAAGGTGGACACAAAGTAGTTTCACTATAATCCATATTAAAATATTCATCACATTAAATCAAAATATCCCTGCTAAAAGTGTGACTATTCAATGACGGTGCTTCTCTAGTTTTTTGTCCCTCTTTTTCAACTTGTGATCGCAACATCATCATATCTGAGTTTCTCACAATCCATGATGATAAACACAGAATGTCCACAGACCCGTGGTGAGGCCTGTGGTTGGAGCCCATGGGGGTGTGATTGTGTCTAACATGCCCTGAAGTCACTCTAGGGAGCGAACAAAGTGTGTTTTATTAGAGAGGGGAATGCAGGTGTTGAAAGTGACTGTAGATTCCCAAGCTTTAAAAACGCACACATCTGGACTGATAAAGACCCCCACACAACATGAGATCTAAAGATTTGGTGGCCATCTATTGATACTGCACTAACATATTCAATTAAATATACAACAACAGAAAAAAAGATAAAAATGGACAAATGTAGAACAATTCCAAAAATCCCCATGTCCTGCATTTGTTCCTCCCAGTCGTGGGACAACAACAACCTGCATTTGTTCCTCCCAGTCGTGGGAGCAGAGTGGGCCTGTTTGATCTCAACTCGCCTCTATTAATTAAAGTCAAATGCCACTGCCTCTCAGTGTTTCCATGGGGTTCATGCAACCCTTCCAGAGAGTGGAGTTGGATCAGTCAGGGAGTTGACGCCACATTGTGTTGTTGAGTAGGAGTGAAGAGGTGGCTTCCTTCAGCGCTCCTTCAAACCACACTCCACATGCCAGGGATTCCTTCTGACCGCACAACTGGGCAGAAGCAGATGCTTGATTAACAAATGGCCTTCATTAAGTGTGCTTTCTTTGTGAACAACTGCTGTGTCTTTGAATTTTATGACTTTTATTACGGTGGTGATTTTACTCCTCAGACAAAAGCTGAAAATGATGAAGAGATGAAAATGTTTCCTTTTTCATTCACTCAGTCGATCAATACGGACCGGTTTTATTTGTTTCTGTCTGGTATCTCTTTAAGTAGAGAATATGACACTTATCCTCCCACAACAAGCCAGCCTATGTTTTTCACTGGGGTGGGGGGCGAATACATAACTTTGTGTGATTATCCCATCAGTCTCAAACAATGTCAATGGCCTGAGAGTTCTGGTTTTGTCTCATCTGATAGAATGTGTTGCTTTAGGTACTTTCTTTTTTCAGGTTGTCCTTGGCAGACTTCAGTCTGGCTTCGAGGCCTGGAGTTTTTATTGGTCTCCAGCCTGACAGTCTGTTTCTATAATGGATCACAGTGACAAGCTTTTCATTCCTGATAGTGTTTATCATTAAACATTTTTTATACCAAAACCACGTTGCCAATACAGAGGTGTGCATCAAACCATGGGTTTTACATACTGTTACACCCTTAATAAAAACACATGATCTTAGAAAAAACCTGTTTGGAGTTACTGTCTTTACTGAAACTAAAGCGAAAGGAGATCCGTCTCTCTGCTCTTTGAGGGAGCGAGCCCGACTGTGGGACAGACAGCAAAAATATAAAGCCTCTTTCTGGTCTCCATCATACAGTGTGACAGTAAGAACGGGGCCCTGGACTGGTGACAGCACCTATAAGTCTCCATCAGGGCCCCAGGGCAGGCTGTCTCATGACTCTGTGCAGGTGCCTCCTGTTCCTGCCTCGGTCGCCAGAAAGTCAGGCACTAAGTGGCTCTCCTTCTCCTCCAACTCCATCTCATCTCCATCACAAGTCAGTGAGATATTCCACAGTCATGGAGGGGCTTAGCAAACGACGCCATGTTTAGTCATTAGTAAGCTGCAGATCTTGTGAGTTGGACTAAAGAGTCTCTGATGTCACATCTAATGGTGACTGCAGAGAGGAGCTGCACGTGAGAGGGTGAACAAGGGTAACAGAGAAAAGTCATAATGAAGAGTGTAAACTATGGTTCCTGATGTTTACTTTCCCAGTTACAACAGACGTAATGATGAAATGTCATTTGATGAGTGCTTTAGAAAACTGCCCTGCTTTGGGACAATCATTTTCTACAGCCAGATATTGCACAACTACAGGAGCTAATCAGAAAGTTTGAATAACTCAGCAAAAATCATAATGTGTTAAATACTTTGCTATTACCGGTTCCTATCTACTGGGCCGTCTCCTGAAGCTGGCCATTGACAGGCTTAGTCAAACTCTAGCTAAACTAACCAGCCAGTGGTTTTGTAATTACTGTAGATCTACAGATGGTAGCATGGAATTCATTTTCTCATTTGGCACAAGGCAACAAAGTGTTGATGTCTTTACTTGATTAAAAAGCTGTTATTGTTTCTTTTAAAACAGATAAAACAAAGAAAAGACAAGGATTAACGATAAGAGCAAAAATAAAAAGGAAAAATGTGAAGTAGGTCTGTTTCCTTTCTCTCCGTCTGTGTGGCCTGTGACACATTCATCATCAACTCTTCTGTGATCTGATCCATGTTTGATCACCTGGCACAGACTGACAGACTGCTGAGAACTTGATGACTTTTGGGTTTTTTTTTTCCACTGCTGTCCAACTGCTGTCCAAAAGAATAAATGATGACTTCTACACTTAATTCCGCAACAACATCTGCGATTTGTCAAAAACACAAGGGCCATGAATAAAAGCAAATAACTCAACAAATAATTAGTTAAATTCACTCTGAAATACACACACACAAAAATATATCGGCTTTTGTAAAGTTAACATGGCATGCGTCTGCAGAGGCCAGTTGGCCAAGGCTGTTACGTGTGGTTTGTCAGGAAACAGACCAAACACTCAGCAGACGAAGAGGCAAACGTCCCACTGAGTCTTTATAGACCTCCTCAGGACGTGTGCACGAAATTACAGCCTGAACAAAAATGCAGAAAGAAAAAAGAGTTCTTAACTCTGTTGAGGAGAACTATCAACTGCTAACTGCCTTCTCGTGTTAACACTCAGACAAAGGAATGAAGACAATAAGGATTCTGACATTTTTGGCCCAAACATAATTCTCTTTGCAGAAGTTTCATCACTTCACAGTCTATATACACACCATCACATAGTTCTTCAAAAGTGATGTGTGGACGAGCAATCACTTCTTATACGTTAACGCTACGTTACGCTAGTGAGTCAGCCATTTGTATTTCATTTAATCTATGGGGTTTTTTTTTTACTTTATTTTTCAAGCCAAAAATATGAGCAAAATGAAGTTTCTATATATATCCAGGAGATGCAAAAGTAAAGAAAATGTTTGACTTCTGCAAAAGCCACTTAGTAGATGTAAATTATGTTGGTTGGTTTATGTGGTGGAATCTGACACCAAGTCGGGCTCAGAGAAAAAACTGGACAATGCTGTAAAAATCAGTTTTGTCTTTTGTCCCAGAGATGGACACTGTCTTATTAGTGCAGACATCTACCATAAAGTGGTGCCTACACTTTATTCTCTGCTGTCTGGTCCTTTTTAACTGGAAAATCTACCTTAAAATATTTTGGCTGTAAACACCTAATCACCATCAAGTATTTAGAAAACAAAATATCACACATATATATAACATTACACTAAGCATGTAATCTTGCAAGAGTTGCTTACTTGTGAATTGGAAAACTCGTATTTTGGGTAATGTTAGTCATTGTGACTTATCAGCTCAAATATAGCATAGTCCTCAGTTGGCCCTGTAGATTATAGTACATTTACTGTGTTAAACTGTGGGAACGGTGGTCACGTGTGAAATACTACTCCTAAATTATTCTTAAACTGTGTTTAAAATGTGTCTGTTCAGCTGAAGGGCTTTCTGCACTCAACTGAGCTGTAATCCAAATATTTTCTGAGATATTTCATTGCCTACAGACAAATTTCTGGTACAACACAAGAAAAAGAAACCCCCAAAGGACTGAATTAACGCAACTTTAAAAAGAAAAAAACAAGCTTTATTACACATTTTTTTATAGTGCTGTACTGGGTGGAAAACTATCACAGTACCTTAGATTGCTGATCCAAAACTGTCTGACATTTACAGCAACAATTGATTTAATGTTACAAGGGGGAAAAGCAAAAATCACTGATGATTGCGGCATTAAAAACATGCTTCCTCTGGAGACTGACACCAGAACTCCATCTAAATGTGCTGTTGTGCTGAAACTCTAGATCACTGTGGGGACAAGGAAATACTTTTGTACTTGTTCTTTCTGTCTTTTCATTACAAATATGTAAATCCCTGGAAATTACAAGCCACCTGACTCCTCTTATCTACAAAAAGCAGTAACTACAATTGGTTCTTTTTACTGTTGGTATCAGGAGGAGCTTGTGTCTCCACAAGGACTAAGGGTTTTGTGGACAAGTGGAGCAGGGTGTCTCTGAGGTGCTGATTGACTTGGCAGATGGAATATAAATTAGAATCCAAAGGCATCAGCAAGGTTGATCCCCTCTATTTTCCTTGCACGATCAGGGGGGAAGAACGGACGGGGAATCATTCTGCTAAAGCCTCGGTTGGCAGGCTGCGTCTCGGAGTGGTTCAGCATCTGTTGCTTTATTTTTTTCCAATGGAATTCTCAGCTCTGTGTTTCTGTAAATGACTTTTTGCACCATGTGATATTGATTAATTGCTCACAAAGGCAGAATTAGCCATTCAAATCTCAAATCCAGGTTTAAAAAATACTTTTTGTATGCGAGAAAAAAAAAAAGTTATCAGATGGAAAATGTTTGAGTAAATACACAGGGATGTGTTTAGATTTTAACACAGCTGTATTAAATTGTTTAATGGTAAAAGGAAACATTAAATAAATGTCAAATAATAATGAATCCCATAAATGACACTAAAGTCATTTTGAGATTCTGAAAATATTTAAACATAACTTTTAAATGTTAGTAAAAAGAATGGCTTTTACATTTAACCTTTTACATTTAATAAAGATGAATGAGAACTCTTTGTTTATATCTACTTTTAATACTTTTACTGCCTGAGTTGAATTTGTAGGTTTAATTTTTTTTCCTGTTACTGTAGAGATAAACACAGGGAGAAAGGACAAAAACATTAACCTTGCAGGCCAGTTTAACAACAGCGATCATTAACCACAACTGCCGATGACATAATTCTTTTCACTTCCACAATCTGACTCATAAGAAAAAGACTAAAAAAGCCAGGACTACTTCCAACAGGCAGTTGAAGTGTAGCCTGGCTTT